CTAAAAAGAACATTATTTTTGTGTATTTGGTGTAATGAAATGTGTTTATGCGGTTTAAGGTTAAAAAACATTATTTCCCACATACTGTACATTATTGTTTCTCCTCTATGCCCTGCCTTTCTGAAACGCGTCGATTTTTACAAAGCTCATCGGTCTGAAAAAGCGAGGTGTGCTCTGATTGGCCAGCTATCCAGTGTGTTGTGATTGGCCGAAATAAACAATAAACAACAGCAAAATAAACCAGTTTTGTTACTGTTAACTAAAATCAATTAAAAAGCTGAAATAAAATAAAATATAAAGAGCTAGTAGAATAATTTTATATTTACATTGCCAAAGGCAATGTTTTTGATTTTCAAGTACTTAGATTTCTAAACTACTCTGGTACTAAAACTACTACTACTTTTCAATTCAATTCAATTCAAGTTTATTTGTACAGCGCTTTTCACGATACAAATCATTGCAAAGCAACTTTACAGCAAATTAAGTTTCTACAATATTTAGTGGTAGCTTAGTGAGCTGAGGCCGGGCAAGAGTGAGCTTAGGCGGCGGGATCGAGAACGGCGGTCCCGGCGGATCCGACGAAGGAGATGTGAAAACGGTGAAAGCCGATCTGGTGATCCACAGCACTAAGTTGATGTATTTCCTCAGCGACCAGCATGGATCAGCTCTAGGCATGACGAAGCGGATATCGTCCTCTTTTGAAAGTAGTTTCGCTTTCACAACGAAGCACACAGCGTCTTTACCACATGGCGGCTGCAACAACAAAACTACAGCGAGAATAAAAGTTGCGCCTTCTTTCTTTGCGTGAACATTTGGGCGGTGTTATGCAAATCTTCCCACATAGTGATGTAGGTATGTGGGGGCGTGTTAGAACGAGCCGTTTTAGGTAGGCGTGGCTGACTCTTAACTTTTATAAAGAATATCTCTTTGGATTTGAGACTTTAGTCTTTCTTTGCAACTAGATCTTCTTTATGCACCAAGAGCTTGTAACACTCCAAAGAGAAAGGAAAAATTTAAATCGCATCATATGACCCCTTTAAGACATTTCATACACAGTAGTAGTTTAAAGTGCTTTACAGAAAATAAATAAATAAATATCATTGTAGTACAATGCCATTTTGGTGGCAGCTATTATCATGGTAAATGATTTCTAAAAACATATTTCCAGGAATTTACGGGAATATATACCAGAACAATCTCCTGCTGTAGTATTGGACTCCTTTGAATGCCTGTTTTGTTTGTTTTGGCAAGAGATTCTGCGTTCGCTTTGGACAGCCTCAAGGTTCTGTTTGTGCTGTTTGGAATGAAAAGCCTTTCAAAAGGTTGATGATTCTGTACTGACAAACCCAAACCTACCTATAAACGCGCTCACACACACACCCAAACACATTGATATTAGCTGTAATTACTGCGTGGGTTTGTTTGTTTATCATGGTAACCACTTCAACAAATATTGAAGGAATCAACAAGTCAAGATAATGGGCTAATTTACAAAATGGTGTGAGCAGCGCAACTCTATGTGTGTGTGTGTCTGTGTGTGTGTGTGTGTGGAGAAAGAAAGAGAGGGGACAATCACATGATGCGGGGTGCCTGGCTCCAGCGTATTAATTATCTGATTTCTCTGGTTATAATAGCGTTGATTGAGAGACCCATTTGGACTAAAATAATCCTCCCGCCCTCTTACTCGAACTCGCTGTATCTCCTCTCTGTTTTTATCTCCCTTATATGCTCATCTTCCTTTTGTTTTGCCTTATGCTGCCAGCAAATGTACCAAGCTCTTATGCTCTAGTTGGGCACTTGTTATTATGATTTGTCATTCACATTAACATGCACAGCAATTTAAGGGGAGACACTGCAGGCAAAAACACTATTTTTTCATGCACCTGTCAATTTTGAGATTTTTGGCTTTTCATAAAGTGTTGATAAAGACTAGTGGAAAGAAAACATCCAAAAGACACTGTTAATTGTTTATTCAAACTCAAAACACACGGCAGCAACAAACAGGAAGTTTGTTAGTACTACTAAAACTGAAATAAAAATAAATGATAATAATAAACTAAAACAATTAAAATATGAATAGATAATAGTATATAAATAATAGATAAATATAATGTAATATAAAAGTATGTAATAATGCTTAAAATACACAGAAAAAATGGTGCTGAAACAATTTTCACTCAGACATTTCTAGTAAATTTCACAATTACAACCAGTAAGTAACATTGAATTAAACATAATTTTGTTATTTTGAAGTAGAAAAAAATGACATTTTGAAACTTCAAAAAAAGTTTTAATTGAAAACTTGAAAAAAAAATGTTTTACAATGTAACAGTGAAATTCACCTGCATCACTTTTATAGTCAGTTTAATTTATTTATGCATAATTTAAATTTCAGTAAGTAAAAAAAACAAGTAGAGTGAGTCATTAGCTTAGCATTAGGTTCTGTCTGCTTGAAGTCCACGTTATATCAGTGTCTCTTATTATGTCTGTCTTTTCCCCACTTGCTCAGTCTCTCCGCATTTCTGTTTGTTCACACACATGTACACGTTTTCTCTACCTTTTGTTTTCGTCCACGTGTTTGTCCACTCGTCCACAGGATTGAACATGCGTCCAAACATACAAATGCAAACAGGTCTGTGTGGCGTGTTATGATTGCTCTCCGAGCAGATGGTCTCAGAGCCGTCTGAACGATCTGTACTAACAGTCTGTTCTTACTGCGAAGCCCCTCACTTCTTTCTCTCTCACATTTGGGTTATCAAATGTTGTTTGGCTTGTGTGATTACGGTTGGTAAGCGGCAGGCTGTTGTGTAATTTTGTCTAATGTCACAGCGCTGTGGGATGACAGAGGAATTCTGTCTTTCTCGCAGGGTGAGAAACAAGCTAAATATTTCAGCTGTCATATTTACACTCTGTCAAAGACGCTGAAGTTTTCTTTTTTGGTGCCTATCCACAAATGTACAAGCTTCAGAAATTAAAATGAGTGAATATCAACACTTCTAACTATCTTACTGTTATAGTAAGTCACAGAATACACCCGCTCATGAATAGGGGCCGTATGTTGTGTAGGTTGAGGTGTGATTAAAGTCCGGGAGACACAGCATGAAAGTCCACCCTTTACCGCAGGGAGAAAAACACATGAGACCTATCAATGGCAACAAATCTTCTCACTTGAAGAAAGCACCCACATCTCCAGCTAAAAACCCTTAACAGATAATCTTCATCTAAACAAGACACGTGAAATGCTACAATTCTTTTCTGATCTAAAAATTCTAAATAATCATTTACTCTCTTGTATGACTTTCTTTATTCTGCAGAACTCAAAAAGTATGTCGTTTCGAAAAGGCCTCAATGTTTTTTGTGCATAAATTGAAAAGGTTGTCCAGTAAAGTAGGGCTGCACAATTAGAGGAAAAAAACTAATTGAGATTTTTCCAATAAAAATTGCAATTGAAATGGGATGTAAAAAAAAAAGTTCTAGCTTGCTCTGCCAAACATTTGCGATTATATATAGGTATGGCAAAATAATAATAATTTATTACTAAATAAAAAATAGAAAAAATGTATAAAAACAAAATAAATATTACTATTGTAATATTGCACTATAAAATAGAAAGGAATGATAATTTTAATGTAAAGTATACTGTAACGTTACAATGCAAATATTTGTCTATTTAGGTACTGTATATCTATTATTGAACTTTTATTTTAATGGGAGACAGCAGGGAACTCTTAAAGCTTCTCTTTTATTGATAAGCGCTTCTCATTACAAGTATGGGAAGATGGTTGGCACTGATTGTGTTTTGCACCCTTTGCGATATCGCAAATTCAGTTTATTTCAATAAATTTTGCAGTCTTACGCTCTTAAAAATAAAGGTGCTTCACGATGCCATAGAAGAACCTTTTTGTCTAAATGGCTCCATAAAGAACCTTTAACATCTGAAGAACCTTTCTGTTTCACTAAAAGGGTCTTTGTGGCGAAAGAAGGTTCTTCAGATTATAAAAAGGTAAGAAAGAGATGGTTCTTTAAAGAACCTTTGACTGAATGGTTCTTCAAAAATGGTTCTTCTATGGCATCCCTGTGAAGAACCTTTTAAGCACCTTTATTTTTAAGAGTGTACAAGAAAGTCATAATGATTTGGAACATCGTGAAGGTGAGAGATCACAGAATGTTCATTTTTGTGTGAACTATCCCTTTAAGGAAGAAATGTTGGCATTTATGATCATGTGAACTTGGATGGGGATTAATCATGATTCATATGAATGATCATTTAGGAATAATTCACCCAAAAATAACAAATCAGTCATGATTTACTCCACATGTCATTACAAACTTTTGTTTGACTGATTTTCTTTCATCCAACACAAAAGAAGACATGCATAATGACCAATTAGACTAACCACAGAAAGTACAAGACCGCACCATAAAAATAGTTGTGCCTATATTCTAAAACTTCTGAAGCCATTTGATAGCTATGTGTGAAAGAGACTGATATTTACTGCAAGTTATTCACTGGATATGCACAAAAAAAAAAAAAAAAATCAAAGAAGCTGGAAAACAAATAAGATATAAAGGAAAAGAAAAGAGGTGCTTTCAATACCCCAGGCAAAATTTCTTTAGTGTTTTACAAGATAAAGAAAATCATGATAAAACAATAAATGAATAAATAATCTGAGCATTTTCATTTTTGGGTGAGCTATCCCTTTAAGTCTCATTGCCAGTTATATAGAAGTAACAAACTGTCACAAATCTGTCCTCATCTGATTTGTCATGGCTACACAAACAAGCGCTACTTTGCAGCCAAATCCAATTTGCGGCCAGAATGATGCAGCAACTAAATCAACATTGATTCAGCAAAATCAATTACAGGTCCTTTTCAGATTCGAGTTGAAAGCTCATACCATATAAGCGTTCGACTCAAATCTCTTCTACAGCGCAGTGCTGTTGTGTTCGTGACCACCTGTGACGGCAGCCGTCTGATGATTGTTATTTCCTGTTGCCAGGTGATGCCGACCGCCCGCTGTGTATCCTGACCTTTACGCTGGAACCAGGATTTATGGAACGGATGTGAAATATATCTGTATATATAAGGCAGCGAATTTGTGAGTGCTGAAAAACAATGCACAAACCCTTGACTACTGCAACCAAACCCTGCTCTTATTCTTTTGATAGCCATAAAATTGGTACAGCTTTCCTAGAGCCATTTTTATGGTTTCTTGGTGCTCGGTTCCTGCCCTTGTGACCCGCTGGAATATTGTGACTTCGCAATATATGTGGTTCCTTGTAAGTTGCTGTGGTAAGAAGCAGCAAAATAAATGGAAATGGAAATGTGCAGACTTACAGCGGAAGACTTCCATCAGAATTCATCATCAGCATTCTGCTCCTCCTGAATGCACACACACACAGACAGGGTGACGTATAGTGTTTCAGAGCATGTTCTAACCATAAATAGAATTCTGAATTAAAGAACTCAGTCCATTTTAATTGATTCATTCAGTTGAATTAATTGGAATTTAAACTCAATTGGCTATGCCTCACAGAAAG